CAACGTGCACCTGTATGCTCGATTACATTGACTTTAAACAACATGTTGCTAAGTCCCTCAAAAGACAGGATTACGAACGAGATACTATTTAGACACATTTATTCTAATGTATTTGAATAACCTGACAAGATATCAGTTAATTCCAGTCCTAGTCTAGAAACTGAACAGACAATCACATGTGACTCATTATCTCACGAACACTTGAATTTTATGAGTGTGAGAATGTTTACAAATCAGCGCAGTTAGGGAATCGATGAAAGCCAGGGAGCACTGGAAATATGTATTGAAATTATTCGAATCCCTGAAAACCCAACACCTGAGAATTCACTACCTGTTATCAAAATGTGGCTAAAATGGCAAATTTGAATGATCATTCGTTTGTTCACCTAACTTTACCCAGTCTTTTCGCATGGAATACTTTTACATGACCACAGAGTGGAAATATCCTGTAAACATTTCACAAGCCTGACAAATCTTTCAACTTTATCTTACAGTGACGTACCAAACCAAACCTTCACTATCACTTACGATAATTTAACTGGACAGTGGGTTCTAAAGACTACACTTAATTATGGGCAGATAATTTGGTCTAATGAGTAAGGATTGACAGAAAACAAGGGTACTATTAGCATAGTCGAGATGATCATTCAAGTACCATGTAGTCCGATAAGTTGTATTTGTAATATGCACCCAAGTAAATGTGCATTTATCTGTCAAACGATTGAACATCAAAGTTACACCAAATCACATATATTCTCAAGTATCTATCTAGAAAATGCAAAAAATATCAGTAGATGAATAGTGGATGACTTTGTGGTTTCCCATATATATACATATAACTGTATCCGCCTACGCAAGATTGACCTACATTAATGTCTACCAATTTGGTTAACAGCCAGCTCTCACCACAATAAGACCTCAATCGTATAAGTAAAGAAATTGACAGTATTATTGATATAAGTATAAAACTTGGGCACTGTGGTAGAGTATAATTCCATTATAGATAAGATTTTATTTTGATAAATCGCACAGTGTTTACAGTTATATGAACTGATGACGTTTCGAACACAAACTATTGCTCATAATCATATCAAGTTACTCACACAACTTTGATCTCTCATTTATATACATATGTGGAATGGATTAGATATTGGATTAAAAATCAATGTGAGATAATGTACATTCAGAAATAATCGTACGAGTGTTGTTGATCAATTGCAATTAGATGGGAAAATTGGACGAGTGTTTTTACAGTCATAATAAGCTGCTTGTTAGAATGTGTTTGAATTGAAATAGAATTTTAAGATTATTTATTACCCTCTTCTGGTTTGACTGATGGCATTAATACGAGTGTTATTGATCTACTATAATCAGATGGAAGATACGACGAGTGTTTTAATAGTCATAATAAGTTTTTTGTTAGGATGTTGTGATGTGTTTGAATCGAAATAGAATTTTAATATTATTTATTACCCTCTTCTGATTTGACCTGCGGTAATAATATCTTCCATATCTCTGGTATTTGCATTGAGTCATTTTTGTTGCATGTGTTGGGTGTGGACTCGATAAATAAGGATTCCGTAATCAACCTCTCTCTCCACTAAGCTATATTACTTTTCAGAATTTTAACCCTATCCCACCCTATTGTGTGGTTGTTTGTTATTGCATGAAGTGCAATAGCTGAGCTTTTTTCTAAATTACTTATCTTCTCTGGGTCAACCATTCTTACCTTAGCTAAATTCTTATGTTCTGTTAATCTGACTATCCCTGACCTACTAGTTTGACCTATGTAGTTGACCTCACAGTTATTGCAGGGTATTTTGTAAATTATATTATTTTGTTTAATTGGATCCACCGGGTCTTTTAGCCTACAGAGCTTGTCTCTGAGTGAGTTTGTAGGTTTGAATGCCACCCTAATTCCTGCTTTATTTAGAATCCTACGTAGGGCCTCAGATGTGCTTTCCTTATATGGTATAACAGTGGATGACTTATATTCTTTCTTATTTGTGTTATCATTAATAGTTTCACCATTATTTTTATTTTTCGTTTGGCTTTTTGTGATCTTCCTAATGAATTTTATAGGATAGTTATTCAACACCAACGCTTCTTCTATCTGTTTTATTTCATCATTTAGGTCTTTTTTTGTGCTACTTAGTGCTACTGCTCGGTTTGTCAGACACTTCACTAAGCCTGCCTTAACAGTTAACGGATGAGATGAATTAAAGTCTAAATATCTATTAGAATGAGTTGGTTTTCTGTACACACTAGTATGTAGTTTGCCTTCTTCTATTCGTTTTATTTTACAGTCTAACATAGCTAATTCTCCTAGTTCATTTTCTGATTCAAATGTGAATTTTATTCCCTCTACTTGTGAATTTATATGTGTCAAGAAGCTAGATAGAGATATGTTCTGTTTTTAACACTGTGAAAGTGTTATCCACATATCATCACCATATTTTTGAAGTAGGATTAAATGTATTAAGAGCACTACTTTCCCAGCTGTCCATAAATATGTCTGCTACAATAGGGGATATTGGTGATCCCATTGCTACACCTTCTGTTTGTTTATATATTTTGCCTTGGAACTTAAAGATGGTAGATGTGAGACATAACTGAATCCCTAACATAATTTGTTCAATGGGCAGCTTTGTCCTATGATTCAGTTCAGGATCCGCAGTTAGTTCTTTTTTAACTGCTTCTAAGGCCATAATGACTGGTATATTAGTGTAAAGACTAGTTATATCAAAACTAACCATTTTTTCATCATTCTCTAGTTGAATGTCATTTAGCTTACTTTTCATCTCATATGAATTAGTTAGTCTAGAGTTTGAGCGATTTCTAATGGGACAAAGTATTAGAGCTAAGTGTTTTGATAATTCATAAGTGGGAGTATTTCTAAAATCTACTATTGGTCTTATGGGGTAACCTGGTTTATGTATTTTAATAGTACCATATATTCTACTAGTATTATTAGTTTTAGGCATTAAAGTAAACCATTTAGACTCACCCAGTGACGGCTTCATTCTCCGTATTAATTCCGCTGTAGATTTCTTTACCTTATTCATTATTGTATCTACAGGCTTCTTAATTTCCTCATATGGACCCGTTTCAATATGTTCACTGACTTTCTTGATATAGTCAGATTTATTCAGAACTACGGTGGCGTTTCCTTTGTCCGCTTTTGCGATGACAATATTTTTATCCTGTTTTAGACTAATTAAAGCTTCCCTTTCTGATTTTGTTAAGTTTGATCTTGCCTTCTTTTGATTTTTCAGGGTTAACGCACATTGTGCTCTAACCTCTTCTGCTGTTGTCTTGTCTATTGAACCTAGTGCTGCTTCTATGTTAGGAATAACGTCCTCTGGTTTTAATTTATTAACTGTTACGTTAAAATTTAGTCCTTTCTCAAGTACTTTTATCTCACTAGAGCTTAGTTCTCTTGATAATGTAAAAACACTCGTCCAATTTTCCCATCTAATTGCAATTGATCAACAACACTCGTACGATTATTTCTGAATGTACATTATCTCACATTGATTTTTAATCCAATATCTAATCCATTCCACATATGTATATAAATGAGAGATCAAAGTTGTGTGAGTAACTTGATATGATTATGAGCAATAGTTTGTGTTCGAAACGTCATCAGTTCATATAACTGTAAACACTGTGCGATTTATCAAAATAAAATCTTCTCTATAAATTGACAGTACATTGTCGAGTCAACTGAAATTGTTGGGAAATGGGATCACATATTAATGGTAAAGATGAAAATAATTGTTTCGTCACAATAGTAAATATATTCAGTAGAAATAAGAAGGCTGGAGGGATCGTTTTGAAAGAGAGTGTTGCGGCGAAGTTTATTTAGGCTAATATTTCTCTTAGTTTCGATGCCAATAATTCACTAGCTATATCTCGTTGCAAAGATAAGCTTATATATATATACATATATATTGTTGTTGTTTAAGTATATGAGACAATCATCTTCCCATTCTATGATAATTAAGTATCCAAAACCGACTCATAAATTACAGTAACATGTGTATCATGCTGAAAAATTTGAAAGCAACTGCCTGAGTTATGCTTAGCCATCGAAGACGTACAAGCCTAAAGAACTAAGAGGAAACCTTGTATAGAATTGTAAAGGTTCAATTTCTATCAATCCTGTACTCCGTATTCACTAAGTGTGCTAGTATCGAGCTCCTGGTGTCAGATGGTCTAAATCGAATATGGTGACGCTTTTGCACAACAATATAAGTGATAGCTGGCTCCTCGCCAGGACGGACATCTGCACAAGCTCGTTGAATTGCACACAGCTCTTCCACCAACACATTTTCGAACTGGCCCTCCGAAACTCCATCGCGATAGAATATCATGCGCGTCGGGAAACGCCCGTTCGTGTTACGCAGGTAAAGCTGCAACAAAACACAAATAATAAGGAAGAACGAAAGCGTACAACGGGAAAAAGGGGAATGTGAGTCAGTAGAGTTGGTCATTGATGAAAACTAACCTGGAGTAGCTCCTTGACACTGAGACGCATATCATCGATTATTTCTCTGGCTGCCTTATTCCCCTTTTCTGTGGTTGCCTGCTGACGGATAACTACCCCGTACCTCATAAGATCGGGTGAAACACTACCAATAACAGCAGCTACTGACTTTCGAATTTGATGAGTTTGTGTAGGCGCAGGATGAGTGACATCGGCTCCAAAAACCATAACCAACTCTTGACTGTCCTTAATAAGGTCAGGAATTCGCCAGTTCACACCGCCGAGTTTCCCATTCAGTTTGAGTAACAGGTTCGCTGAAAGCAGAAAACCGAGTTAAACTCATCGAAATACAGAAACACACTGAAGGCTACATGTGAACAACACTCATTACTTACGGAAAACGTTCGGTTTGTCCAGAGTACGAGCTCGTACACATTGAGTCCGAATCCCCATTTGCAGGTCACTCAGACGTTTAATCGATGAGTAGAAATGTTCATCGTACAGGATGAGAAGTAAGAAGCCACAGCCTTGTCTGGAAAACTCCTCGAACCTCCTGTTTAGTTCTCCTCTCGGACACTGTGCCACAATCGGTCGAGGGCTAAACCGAACACCAAAGCGACTGGCCGCTCTAGGCAATTCCGATATCACCTTCTGTACATGACCATGAGACCGCTAGGAAGAAAACATGGCAAGGAGATGAAGCAGTCAGTTCTCGCGTTTACATTTGACAATAACAATAACATGAGAAGTTCTTCCAAATGTATCGCGCAAATACGTCTCACTTTTCAGATAATCTCCGTCTTCTAAAAACACTATCTAAATTTATAAAAGCGACTAACTGTTTTCAACAATAACACATGCCTTTTGACAACAAACCAGAATTAAGTGCACACTTCTCAGGCTACTCTACCCATCTGACAACATTTCCTTCACTTTATTAAAAGGCAGACAAAACCTCCTCTTTGTATACAGAGCATTAAACACTGACAAATAAAAGATGATGATATTGCCACCGACGTAATGCAGTGAACAATAAAGTAGGTGGGCTGTCATGGAACTAGGCGAGCTACCCTTCGATGTTGATACAATCGACAAATGATCAAGTCTACAATGTCAATTTGGTGCCCAAGTGATTGTACAACTCAACTTTGTTACAGCACTAATCTTACGTTGAACTGGAGTAGAAAACATACCTGATTAGGCGGAATGCTAAGTACAGCCCACATTATTTCTACTCCTTCGCCGGCAGGGTGAAGAAAGCTAGGCGTGCTCCAACTACCTGCCGTCAGCTGTTGTACACCGGAACGACCAAAGCCAGCAGTTGGCGGCTGGATAACACGTGCGTTAACTTCCACTGGCCTCGGTTGAATCGCCAAACCAAATTGTTTGATCAGTGGGTGGGACCTTGGAGGAAATGGAACAAATGTCATGTCAAAAGAAACCCTCATAATTACAAAACAATGCATTGAGTAAATCATAAAATCTGGCTCCAGGCTAACGTCGTTTACACACCTTCCTACACAGTTGGTTCCAGACTTGCATTCAAGCATACTTACCCTACAATTGAGTTCTCTTCACTGCCACACAGCCAACAAACACTACTCTAATTTTGTCGTGCTCAACTAGTCGCAAGTCTGTGCAATTATATGACTCGTGGCCCACTATAACCAACTAGACACCGCCACATTCTGCGTCCTTATCAAATCGATGTACAAAACAGTGTATGTCGTATCTACTTGCATGCTTGGAAAACAAACAATAAACTCTGTAGGGAGGCGTTACGTCAAGGATCTCCGGCACTTACCGAGAAGGACTGTGGCGTTTACCTCACGTTTATTCAAATTTCAAAATTACGGCTGACACAACGGACAGCAGATTTCTGTCATCAAAACGTTCACAAAGCGCTCATCTAATAATATATGTGAGAAGTTTACGCATTGTGGAATACATCAATCAAGTGTAATTGTATTTCAATTCCAATAGCTAGTAGCAATTTTGCTAGAAATCAAAAGCCTATCGCTGTGCGTAAACAACCAATGAAATACAACTATAACCAATCATTCGTCTAATAGTGTGCTTCCGTTCTCACATTCAACTTGTCTCTTTACAGGAATACAATGAAGACTAGAACTTCCAATCATGGGAAAACTGAGTTGGCTTGTAGTTGGAAGGACCTACAGATCCATAGCTTATCGGCTACAATTTAAAGTAGCATTACTCCGCCCATTCTAGAGGACTCTTCCATTGACATCACCAATGAATCTATAGAAGCTAAGTGTGATAATTCGGAAATCTCCACAAGTATCCAGGGTCGGTATTGTAACCTACTACTTATTCTACTTTCTCACCATCCTTTTAATGCGCTACAACAATGAGTGTCGAGCTACAAGCTTCATGGAATGCCGAAGAAATCAATCATCGAAAGCTCGTCTATCTCAACATGCTTACCCTCAACTCTTGGATCAATAAGCAACACTACACTTTAGTACTGACCGGTGGTATCAACTCATAAATGAAACTCTTACTTCAGCATATTATTGGCAAAATTCTCCAGCTCTCTGAAGCGCTCCTGTGGTCGAATTGCTGCACAACGGATAACTTCACTCGCAATATCGGCTTTACTCGCATTAGGAGCTTGATAGGGCAAAATGTTTAACAGTTCCATAGGCATATACACTTCACGCTTTTGATCAACCTACAAAAATAATCACTGAAATGCAAATTTACCTTCACACAGGGCAGCTCTGGATACTTCAGAGTGATATGATGGTGCCGCTTGAAATATTCAGCCACGGACTGGTTCAACTCCTCAATCATCAAACGGTCGGCTGGTAGTGATGATATTCCGTGCACGGTGAAGCGTCGGGAATATGCACGTCCTAAAATGTATGAGGTATAACAGAAAACATGCATACCATCATCGCTCTTGTAGAATTTATCAGTCTCAACTCGTATCTTTCTCAAGTCGTATGCCATTTGAGTGCTACATCTAACCATATCGTCTCCATACTTCGAGTACATGACGTCCGCTAGATTCCCGGATACAAAGTAGGCCTTGCACGTCTGTGATTATATGTAAAATAGAAGGTGAATCACTACTTACCATATCCAAGTTGACACGAATTTTCCATTGGGGTCGCACGCTACTGATGAAACCCTTATGAATAGTGAAAAGCTTATCCATAACCACTTTAATTGGTGTTTGCTGAAATAGGGCTGAGCGTCCAAGGGATACAAACGACTGCTTTGACACCGTCTTCAAGATGCAGTCTAACAATCTGATACATTCCTAGAAACAAATATGAAACATATCCAGCCTTACTTGGGGCATATTCATAGAGGTCGCTTTCGGATTCGTTATGAAATGGCTGATATCGGAAGTAGATACCTTCTGCACTTCCATAATCCGGTACTTCAGAAGAAGGCGGTCCCGACCAAACGGCTCCTTGATCTCAATCTCTCTTTCTACGGGGTCCGTTGTGACACCAGGTAACGGATCTTCAGAGTATATGGCGTGACCGCCATCGTATATGATCGTATCTGGTAAACTGCAGAAGCGAGTGAAATAAGCATAATTGTTTAGCGTGAGGTTTATGAATAGATACCAGTGCTCTCAATAGAAACCATAACCAACAACTTCACCAATTCTTTCTAAACAACGCTGACAGTAACCAAAGTCACATAATGAATGGTGTGGGACATGGAACAAGTTATCCCACACGTGTACGAATCTTTGGTTGACAAGCAAGCAATACTTGACCAAAAGTCAGAGAAACAATTCAGCTTAATAATTAAGGAACAGAAAGTTCCGTTACATATGTGAACAATTCATTTGATCAATAACACAATGGTACTTACGAGTCAGCTACCTGCTGAATTAAAGATCTCAACTCTTTAGGTGGCATTCTTATCTCAGTTTTACTGCCCTCCTTAGCTTCCAATCGATGAACTGAGTTGGCCTCCACAAAATACAAATATACCGTTCTGTGATGAAATGTCAAATCCCAACAGTTTGAAGTGACTTTGACTTTCTTGCCGATTGTACCTCCTTGGTCTGGTCTATTCGGTATTCTGAGTGTCTTCTGTATGTTTAGTCTGAAAATAATAGTCAATTCGGGAGCGTTACCGAAGGAAGCAATGAAGACAAATACTGTTAGAGTTTATTTGACGTCAACTTACTTCGAAATACCCGTAGATATATCATACCTGAAACAAAGAAACGAAAGCTAGTTAGGCATCAAGACAAAACATGTCGTGTTATCTGAAGGAACAACAGGAATAGTACTCACACAGCTTTTTGGACTGGATGGCTCTTTTTCTGGCGAGCAGCTTCCGAGGCAATTTCGCCTTCCGAAGACGACGGAATATCACCCCGTTCACTAGGTGTATTGGAACTCCACACAGAACCAGACGAACTATTACGAGTTATTGTGAGCATTCATAAACTTACGCTGGATAACCTCTTTCAGCAGGCTTCTTCAACGGTCCTGAATTGTTAACGCGTGACCTGAAAGGTGAAAAACAACATATTAGTCGTTATGCACTCCACGAATACGAACACTGCTACTCTGTCATTTGTGGAGGCTGACTGAAAAATCAATCTGGAAAATGACAGCAGACTACATAATACGTATCCGAACACAACAGACACAATACTACTGCTCGCCAACTCATCATTCATGAAACAACTGCAAACCACCGTAGCTAAATGAACAGGACAAAATTCATGACTTCTACACCTCACAATGTCAAATCAGAGGTCGAATTGACGATAACTAGGTGTCACATAGCTTCCCCTACTCTCATCTTATGTGTGGAATCGCAGCTGACAAATCTGATCTACAATTCACCAACGATAGTCATTGGGTGGGGATGGGGATTAAGAAAGTCGAACAAACAAGTTAAATGAATCAATCAATGGCGTACATATTTACTTGCTGTGTTTTGTCTGGTAGAGGTAATACAATCATTATCCCACTGCAACCATCGACGACTCAGGTTTGAAAACACGGGATTTCGGACTAGTAAAGTTGAAGCGAAGTACATATCTCCAACGTAATAACTGGTGGTCTAGACCACGGAGTATGCATGTCTAACCATGGTTCTTGGGATAGTAGGAGCCAATACTACCATAGTATTACAGACAACATGCTCACTCCTCATCCTCCATGTTAGCCACACCTCGTCAGTCCTCGTTCCACACAGATTCTCAGGAACTCCAGTCAACAGGTAGTTAACGTGCACGACCATCACCGAAACACACCACAAGTGGACCCGACTACTCAGTGCGGTTAGACAACTCAATTCCGTCATAAAAGCTTGATGCACCAAAGTTCAGATGACTTTCCGAGTCACCACTCTGTGGTAAACCCGTTCAGTCTCTGGGGTATCTTAGTTACACTGCTTCCGAGCTGCACCTGAAACCACAATAGAAAGATACTGGTGAGGTATGCGCTAAAATACTTCTCAGCTTTGCACGTAGAGGATGGCAGTTATGTGGGTAATGTTAATGGCGAGAATCATACAAATCAATCCACATCCACCCATTTCCACAGAACCAGCCTGACTCACCACGGTCTCCCCAACCACCAGGCCTGGTGCCCCACGTCTACGTGGATGTCCTTAAAACCCTCTACAAAACACAACCGAGTATTTCAGCAGTGCTTAAATGACCGTCATATAGATTGTAGTATGCAATTCTATTTACAATCAGCATTGAATATGACCTGGATCTCCAATTACTGCGACTGTCGCAACTGCACGACATAATTGTCCGTTGGACAACAATTGGCTGACAACTCCAAGCAAACATCATTCTGTCAAAATCCCTAAGTCGACTAACACACTCACAAGAGACACCTGGAAGCCTGTAGACTAATGGACAACCTCACCTTTCCGACATTCTGACACGAACTACTACAATAGTAAGCGCACTCCTCAACTACTGTCCGTTGTCCGACGTGCGATGGCTTGACTAAACAAAATTAAAAACCCAATATCCAATACTTTTCGACCTCTTGTATACACCTTGAGATTTCGGATTTCTTGGCTTTATTTGACTAGCCTTTAGTGAATTTTCTGCTTAATTACATGTTAGGTTACGTTTCAGCTCAGTGAGTCCAAAAATGTGTTGTGAGTGTATGAATTCGGACACTCAGATCGCAGGTATGACGGAGAATGTACTCACAATACAGACTTCGCTTTGTGAAGGATGTAACAGACTACTAACACATAGTAAATTCTGTGTAAATATCTTGGAGGGCGTTGTTTCTAGTAGCATATTGAGAGTCAGTTAATATGCCTAACTCGAGATACATACTTTATAATGAAAGGGTAGCTGCAAAGCACTGCCTACGGTTTTTGACAAGGTGTTCTTCGAATTAGGTCATTATTTGCACTTAGATACTTGGTCGGCCATCATGGAACACCTTATATTCCGTGTGAGCTACATCAAGAATTCTACAGTCTATGTTTCAGGTAATGTTATGGTTTAGACCTTATATAAACTGTAACGAGGTTTGAAAACATAGAATACATTATGCCATTCCCTTCGAAATTTAGGCACAGGTCGTCAAAGGTTCTAAGGCTTCCAATGTGTCAACTAGACAGTTATGCTTCCTGAGGTTGTAGGGTTCATCTTGTTCAAATTTTGCCGTCTTAATATTTGTAGAGACTTTGCATTGTGGGACTTTTAAGAATAGTGTGAAGTTCATTTTTATTCTCATTAGCCACCTCGCTTCTAGTCTACCATTACAACACCAATCTTTGCGTGGCGTACCCATACATTCGTTTCTCGATTCTCGTTAACTGTTTGTCTCTAACTGTATATTTGCCATGAACGATATATCCCTATTATTACTGTCAGTATCTCACTCTTCGGCCAGGTGAGTAAATGACTGATGAGACATCTAACTCCGATCGCGCCATTTCAACTGTTTCATCACATGACGTCCTGTGGTCCACACAAGATCCTGTCGCGTACAACTACTCTACTGGACGTCCACCGAAGCAATAACGGATTGTGCGGCTACCTGCGAAAACAAGGGACGTTTGCCTCAACGCCAAGGAGTGGTCCTGAATAAATAAAGATGGGTCCATACGGTAGGAGAACAAAGAAGTTCTTGAAGTCAGTTGAGTCTCAGACCTTTCACTGTCAACGGTCAACTTGTTTATCCATGTGGACTGAAACACAATCTGGTCAGCAAAATTCTCAGGAGACAAGAACTCAGTGGCGGCTTCGTGGTGTGATTGCGTATCGCTATGGCCTAATCCTGTCATTGCTAATAAATACACCTTTGAGCATACGTGAGAGCTATATTCTCCCTTCTCTAGTTGTAGTGGTGCCAAGTCCATAAATGGACTCATATGCAATAAGTCCATGTTTTGAAATCTTGAGTGGTATGTTTCAAAATATATGTACATATACATATGTGTAGAATGATGAAGTTACTTTCAAATATCTTATCATTTATGTTATAAGGAAACATTCTGAATTTCGTAGAGAGAGTTTTCTCGTTACGCGTATACATAAATATTAGTAGGTGGCATTCTATTCACAGTGGTTTGTAGTAGCAATCTTCGGATACACTGATTCCGAATGCAAAATCACGAGAGCACTAAACACGGTTAAAAGCAATATCATGCTGAGCCAGTATACCCACGGTTCTACGACAACAAGGGAGGAGAGTGATTCCAAATACAAATCCTACGTGATTGTAGATCAACATTAAGTTGAGCCTGATGACAATCACTTGCTCACAAATCGGGTTGAAGCATGATCTGTCAAGGCGTTCATTATTATCTTTTTCAAGATAAATATCTAAGCCCTCATAAAAATCATGAAAATCTCGAGCCTTCAAATTGCATATTGCTGTTCCTG